ACTTTATGCTCTCCACGCATCCGGAAAGGGTGATGTTCAGGATACCCAACTATGACGGCATGCCCATCTGCGAGATTCCCTCGGCGGAGGAGCACAAGACCATCAAGACCTATGCGGGCTGGATGAACGAGATAGACAGCTACGATCCGAACACCTTCTCCTTCCACATGACGCGCTCCATCTATGTGCGGCTGGATGGCTGCATCTTGAAGATGTCCGGCACCCAAGCGAGGATACCCAAGCGCTGCATGTGGAACGAGCAGCCCATCGATCGCAAGAAGGTTCTCTTCACCGATCATCGCTCCTACGATCTGAGGGAGTGCCGCATTGAGCTGCTGCCCCTGGGACTGGCCAAGAAGCGGTGAGTGAAGGACCTCCCTTCATCATTCTTTTTGCTTTACAATCGTGTTCCTTTTGCAGCTACTTCAATCGCAAGTATCCCATTCAGCTGATCATCAAGAACACTTGTGATACACCCGCGGCTCGTCAGTCAACTGAATCTCTGTCGGAGACAACGCTCAAGCTGGAGTCCAAGGAGGCACGTTCATCGCTAACCTTAGCCCCGGGCTCAACGCCACCCTACGAGGATGCGGAAAAACAGGATTTTGCATCCACTGTGATGCAAGCAGACGTGAGTTTCAACTTAAACTATAAAGATTACAGCTCCAACTTCACTTTCTCTTAACTTACAGCTGCAGCAACTGCGGAACAATGTCAATCCGGATACGGAGCTGAGCGACATCACAGTGCCCTGTGGCGATGAGGTTCGCCTCCTGCTCTTCACGCGCTGTGACCGGGAGAAGGAGGACTGGTATCGACGCTTCCAGGCCGCCAGCAAGGGGCGTGTCCATGAGCAGGATCTGCAGGTGCCGATGGCACGTTTTGTGGAGGACACCGATCTGCAGTTGGCTGCCGCCAGGCAAGCTGTGCGCATGATCGGTGCAGTGGGTGGACTCAAGGCGCGCCCCAAGGATACTCAAAGTGATGATCGGAGCTTGGGCGATGTGTCGTTTGCCTCAAATATGAATGATGGTCAGCAGACGCCCGATGTAGAGTTCGAGGAGATAACCGAGGATGATTTGCTACCCGAGACGCCAAAGGAGGAGTCATTCGAGGGCATGATCATGAGCGCCGATGTGGCCAGGAATCCTGCGGACTATGTCCGTTTTATGACAGTGTATCAGGTACGGCTCCCGCTCTGCCTTCCCTTTTCCTGTTGTAGTTTTCTTTCCCTTTTTGTTTTTATGATTTTGCATTTTTATTTGTATTTATTTCGCTTCGATCCATGTAGAAAGCTTGCCGTCAGAGCCAGATCCCAGTGACCAAAAGTGCGCGCCTCGAGAATGGCGCAGAAAAAAAGAAAGTATGTTTTTTGATTTAATTTTCTTTTAATTTACAATTGAATGTGCCAAGTGCTTTGGGGACCAAATAATGAGTGAAATTTCTACACAGAATCGCCGCGCCAAGCGCCAGGAAGATGAGCTTTGGAAGGGCATTGATCAGTCGCTGTTTCTGGGTCCCTCCGGCAGCATTGTCTGGGCCAATGTCCTGCTGGGGCGCTGTCTCTTTAGTATGCTGCATGACGCGTCCCTCCAAGAGAGGATCAAGGACTTTATGCAGAAGAAACTCAACTCCATTAAGGTAAGTGAAGCAAGCTCAAGAACCCTTTGTGGAATCTTCTTTGATTGTTGTGACTTCTCCCCACAGTTGCCCAGCTTCATGGAGGAGGTAATCATAACGAATATCTATATGGGCGACTCGCCCATGCTGTGCCATCGCGTCTCCCAGCCCATGCTGGACGAGCGCGGCGTGTGGGTTGATGCAGACCTCACCTACGAGGGACTGGCACACATCACAGTGACCACCAAGCTCAATTTGTTGCGTATCCGCGCCAAGACCAAGGCCTCCCCAATGGGAGCCGAAAGCGGTCCCGGCGCATCGACCTCGACGGATCTACCTCAGGTTCGGCGCAATCTGGGTGACAATGATACACCGGTGGACAGCAGGAGTGCCATCTACGACAGCGATGGCGAGAGCACCGGTGGCTCCTCCTCCGAAAGTGAAAGCACACCGCCGGGCGCCGCCGCGGAGAATGCAGCTGGGACTGAGTAAGTTCTTCTTGTCTATTCTCCCTCAATGCCTGCTAAAATATGTCCCCTTGCGATTGTTATAGATTCTTCCAGAACTCGCCGGGTAACGCCCGACGCATCTTCAAGATCGTCGACCGCATTGCCGCCTCAAATCTGTTCCAATATGCCACCGAGCTGCCGTACGTGCAGCGCGCCATGGAGAACATGAATGCCAACATCACACTGCGCGTAGATCTCAAGGGTTTGGTGGCGCGTGGCACAATAAACATCCCACCACCACCCTCCGACCGGGTGTGGGTGTGCTTCCGGGGGCCACCACGCCTGTGGATATCCACCAAGCCGCAAGTGGGTGACAAGTCCGTCGACTGGACCATTGTTACCAATGTCATTGAGAGCAAGCTGTGCGAGGCAGTCAACAAGTTTTTGGTCTACCCGAATATGGTGGACTTTACCATACCCTTCCTGGCCAAACCCAGCTACGAGGACGAGTCGACGGCATCGCCCAACTAAATACCAAGAAGGGAACCATCACATTTTTTCAAATCAGCAGAATTTAACACAACGTGTGTGCAACAATTTCCATATTAAATAACATACGAGATTAACTTTAAGCTTAGCTTTGATCCAGATCTCTCTGGCACCCACCACGTGTACTTAGCAGTTAAGAGCAGGAAGACGATGAGCAGCGAAGATTGATTCCAAATGACAAGTTATAAAACGCTTTAAACGCTTATTTCGAACACACTCCAGAACAAACCAAATGAAAATCCAAAATCAAGAAATATCTTAAAGGTAATAGTAGCAGGAAAATAGTTTATAATTTATATTTTGTAGACAGCTATTCGAAGTTATTCGAGCTACACGTTTAAAGCTGAGAGATTAAAAGCTAAAATAATACTTGTATTCTGTACAATAATTTACAATAATATCTATCCGACTAGTGGCAGGCTCATGACTTGCGCTTCAACAGCCGCTCTGTGACAAGTATTCCAATAGCATAATGCAGGCATATACTAACTCGCTAACATACATATAAACAAATATATTGTATTCCAATTAGATGGCTAAGAACGGAATGCGTGTGAATTTTACATAATTAAGAATCGATTTTATTTCCGGTGTGGTCTCATTCATCTTCAATCATTCTACATTTGTACTTAAAGCGTTTCAACTACAAATAGGCATACTTACTTACTAAGCAGGAACGAATCCTTACTTCCGTTTGCCAAATGAGAAACAAAACTATTTGCAGGCGTTTCCCTTCAAAATATCATTCACAAACTAATGTGAAAAGGAAAACAAACAAAATAAATAAGTGTAGTAAACGTTTATGTAAGCATTTATGTAAGGACATTGTATGTTTAAATCTTTTACATAAATAAACGAAAGAAAATGGCTTAAATACATTAATTTGTGGGAGGGTTCATTTACAAATGATGGCATACTTTCAGGCGGGCCCTAGTAAGGACTCCAAGGATACACACAATATTTGACTGGAAAAAGGGTCCTTGATCCATGAAAAGGACCCTGTCAAATCAAGGATGCTCCTCTGATCACAGGAAAGTATCAAACGCCTAGACTGGTGCACACTTAGCCGAGAAAACTAACATACGAGAAATTAAGGTAAAAACAACAAAGGAAATGTGGCCAATAAATTTAAAAAAAAATAATGTAACTAAAAGTTTGCTACAGTTTTTTGGGACAATTTAAAATTTCCTGGAATTCAGAAAATTAGTGTATACTTTTAGTTACTTTAATTTGAAAAAAAATTATTGGGGTGTCATAGCAACCAGCTTTTGACACAGTGAAAAAAACAAAACCCAGCTACTTTCTGCTGATTTCTGTTGGCCTGGTACTCGGTCTGAAAATTTACATTTGAGCGAAGCATTTTCAGAAGAATTTTGTTGTACTCAGTGGCGCCCCAACTCTGAACGGTCAATTCTCGAACTACGTTATTTTAGTTCCAAAAGTGGCTGTGGTGTCGCGGGGGCGCCACAGTGCAACAACGCTTTTTAGTTCCAAAAGAGGCCGACGTGATCGCGGGAGCGCCACTGTGCAAACGAAATGTGGTTGTTGTACAACAATAACAAAAACAACTTTTGTTGTACAACAACAACAAAATTAATCGACAACAAACACAGGAGAGCCTTTTTTGTGTTTTTATCCTTTATTTGAAGCCCGATCAGTACATTCCACACCTCCTTGTAATCAGGACAATGTCCCGGATCGCTGGGAGTCCTTCAGGACACAAGGACATTAAGGATAATCCCGTTTTACCGTTGCTTTTAGATATAATCTTTACAAAGCTATAACTCGGCTGTGTCCTTTCGGATCAGAACATGCCACACCGCCACGTAAACGGGACAATGTCCCGGATCGCTGGGAGTCCTTCAGGATGCAAGGACATTAAGGATAATGCCGTTTACGCTTGTTTTTAAAAATAATCTTTAAAACCCTATAATTCGGCTGCATCCTGTCGGATAAGGACATTCCAGTTCTTTCTGTGATTGGAACAATGTCCCGGGTCCTTCACAATCCTTTCGAGTGCAAGGACATTAAGGATAATGCCATTTTCAGGTTGTTTTTCTGTAGAATCCCCACAAGGCTATAACTCGGCTTTTTCCTGTCGGATAAGGACATGGCATGCATCCTCGGGAGCGGAAGAGTATCCTGTATCCCTTGAGTACATCAAGGACCTTAAGGAATACAGGCTTTGGCTGTTATACGCAAGTTTAAATTCGCCTATTTTCTGCCTGAAAGTATACTATACTTTTGTTACCAACGCCAGCCCCCAAAAGATACTCCAATGTTTTAATATTACTTTGCAGCACCCCGAAAGTATGCTATTTATTTTGAACACACACAAATTCGTCTCATTACATTTGTATACAAAATGGGTAGTTATGTATGTTTACATGCATGTACATATGTATGTGATTTATGTCAATCTTAGCCTGCAAACCCGCCACATCGATGGAGACATTGTACTCCCGATCGCAGCCCAAATGGGAATCGCTCATGGGGGCCACAAACTCCAGATTGACTGCTTGGCCTTCTGCTGGAACGTAGGCGTTTGATGGAGAGCAAGCAAATGGTCACCAATAACGAGCCACCAGCCTTCATTGATCTTCTGCGGGCATTGGAGAGCTGCAACAGTCGCGTACAATCTTCATCCTTCAGCGCCCTAAGGAGAGCTGCTGGCAGAGTCAATACGAGTGTATGCCTTACCTTTTCAGCGCAGAGCTTATCACAATATCGACACTGAAGTTCGAGTTGCCAGATGAAAGCTTGCTTCTTGCAGCTCAATCTGCTAGCTGACAATACTTGGGCATTGTGGGCCAGGACATGCACCTCCTCAGAGCTCTAGGGCGTTTATTCGCCATAAAATGGCGCATCCATCCATGTCGGTACCGAGGCCAGTGTGGTGCAGTATAGGATCATCTGGTGGCTCAGCTTCCGCTGCTGGCTGAAATGAAAGCAATCGTTATCCAGCAGCAGTACCAAGCAGCAGCCCAGATGCAGCCATTGGGCATTGACATAGCTGGCAGCCACCTCATAGGCCAGATTTGTGGAAAGAAACCACGCTTGGCTCTTGGGGCCTCCATCTCCGGCAGGACCTGTAGAAGTAAAAGAACAAAAAGCATTTAATGGAGTTGGAATGGAATTTTAAGGATCTACTTTAACAGAATCGTGGCTGATACCTTGAGATACCTTTATATCTTGCCCATTGCCCATAAAATCGACTCCTATTAAGCTACAATTTTATTGTATTTATTTGTTGCTTTGGTCGGGCAGCTTTATTGAAATCCTTGCGGAAAGAATGCACTAAAAATGCATTTAACCATTTCAAAGTTTTTATTGTACCTTCCTTGCTGTTATTCCTGTTATAACTTGCAGCCGTTAAATTTCAATCATAGTTTGGTTCGTTTTGTGAGCGTCTCTTGCGGTGCAACCAATCAATTCTATGGCTGGGATATCCTTATCTCAAATGATCTGTTTGCCGCCGAGATGAAAGGCGGACTGACAATAGTCCAAAGTGTCCTCGTACATCAGAGAGATGTCGATGGCAGCCGAAGAAGACACGCTTCACTGTGGATTTAATTGCTTTAAAATAAGCCACACCCACGGAGCACCGAAAATCCATCTTGCACGCACATTACGACAGCGACCGTTAGGCAAGTGACTGGACTGACTGACTGACTGACTGACTGACTGACTGAGAGAGCGAAGGTGCGGGCGGTCGGCGAGGCGACTTTGATGTGCAGGATCAGGGCAGAGCAATGCATTGGAGGGGCACGCTTGTCAATTGTGGTTGGTGGCTTCAAAAGCGGCTTAGCCACGCTGCCGCAAGTGAACCGAACACATGTCCCCATGCCCCCGTCCCCTGCTCCTTCCTCGTCCCGGACAAATGAAGTGTGTAATTTGAAATTAGCCCAGGCTCAGCGGCACCTTTGTCGGTGTCCAACTACGTGTGTGTGTGCGTGCATGTAGGTGCAATGCAGTGCACCTGCTGACAGTCAGTGTCGGTGCCTGTCCCTTTGCCTGTCCTGTGGCGGCTACTCAGTTACGCAGTAATCCATTGTCCGTCCGTCCATCTATAATGTGACTAATTTGCGATCTCTTGATTTTCGTATACCCCCCAGCCACTCCGCTCGATTTCAATCTTGATTTCAATCTTCAATTTTAAATCCAAATCCAATTCCGCTTGCAGTGGCTGTGGCTGTCGCTGTGGCTGTGGCTGGGGGGCGCTAGCTAATCAGGTTTCTGGCCCCAAATTGATTTCATTTTCATATTTCAATTTCGAAAGACGGCAGCCGGAGCTCTGTCGAAAATGCAAAATCAGTAAGACCAGTAGTCGCGACATGATATAAATTAACTGTTTTGACTTTGTGAAATGAAATGCGGCCTCTTTGAAATTCCAATTTCGATTCCAAGTCCGAAGTCGGAAAACCAAATTGATTTCTTCAACAAAACTCAAACAAAATGCCATTCAAAGTGCTGGCTCCGCTTCGTACTCGCATGGGGTTGGAGCATCGTTAGAGTTAGAGTTTGCCGGTTTCTTTTCGGCTTAAATGGTTTATGTGCGTTTGCAACCAGTTTTATGGACATCGCCTCCGCAGGCTGGCCCAGCCTGATTATACATATATTCTGATGCTGAATGCTGATGCTAAATGCCCAGTGCACCTGTAGCATGCAACACACAGAACTTGGACACAAAACCCTCTAGAACATAGTAACTATTTGTGACACTTTTGGTTACTTTTTAAACCACTTTCCATTACCCAAAGAGCGGGTATCTTATAGTCGCAACCCTACAGCATACCGTTTCCACTTGTTTCGTATTCAATTTGAACGTTTAGGTGGGCCGTGGCCGGCGCCTTTGAAGCCAGCATCTCGTCTACCACGTGCCGTGGCAGTGGCAGTGGCAGGGGCAGCAGCAGCAGCAGCAGCAGCAACTCCAGCTCCGCTCAGCCCTTGTCAGGGAGAGGAGTCCCTGGCATCTGATCTTTCGTAGCGCATCTCCATTGATGCCACCGTGATCCCATGATCCAATCAAATCAAGTCTCTCCCATTTGAATTAATAAACGCAAAAATGTTCATAAATAAGTAGGAATATTTATATCTACATATGTTATAAATGCTTATTTATATCGTTTAGTATTTTCGCTGCGTCCAACAAAGATTCCGCGCAGCCCAAGCCAGTTCTCAAGTCGAGTAGCGATTTGAACGATTTTAATGATGTGCTCAAAGTCTTATGATTTAATTATGCCGCTCTTTGTCTTCGTGGCTATCGTTTGTTTTTGTTTAGTTTTTCGTCTCAATCTCAGTCTTGGGCTCTGGCGCAGTCGCGGTTATTAATATATGCCCCATATTGAAGTTGTGGCGGCTATTTATTGAGCCTTAATTATGTGCGATTTAAATTCTTAATGAATGCCGCTTCTGCCGCTGAATGCCAGCCAGCCCAGTCCTGCCCCACTGTGTAGGCGCACATGCGCCGATGATTGAACTGATAACGCTGCAGGGGAAGCTGCGGAATCTGCTGCTTGCTCAGGGACGACAGGTTGCCCCAAAAACGATTCAATGAGAGAGAGAGAAGCTCCCGATGTCCAGGGCATGGCTAAAGCAGCATTTGCCAGACAGGGGGGGGAAAGCCGAGCCGAATGGCAAGCAGATGATTCCATAAAGTGTAACCTACCTAAACAGGTAAACGTTTGAAAATGTAAATTCCTTTCTAGGTATTTTTTGCTCGGATTTTAACAGTTGGCAAACGGTAGGTAAAAGGGGAACATTTTAGTTTATGGCGGGGCGAGCAGCATGTTTACGGTCATCAATTGGCAGAAGTACTCAGCCCACGGACAGGGCACAAGTACAAGAATTAAATAGAATTGATTGGAATACACACAAAGTCCTTCATTCACTTGCCAATCCACGCGACAAACCAAATCAAAAAGAAACTTGAAGCTGGCCTGGAATCGAAGAAATCTATAAAATGCACGACTAAATCCTCCCAATACCGATAATTTATTCACCCAAAATAACGTAATAAATGTTATTTAAGCACAACTTAATCCTTTGTTCAACTCTTTGGTGAAGAGTTTTCCCGGGCTCCGCTTCCGCCTAAGAAAAATGTATGTAAAAATGGGAAAAGGAAGAGAACAAGGCTCCGGCTGGAGCCGGGGGGGTAGGAGTATGCGACGATATAGGTTGCGTTTTGTGGCTTAGAATCCAGGTCGGATCAGCGCAAATCTCTGTGATCTTTGGCGGTGTCTGCCGCTGCCTCTACGCTCTCTCGCTCTCTCGCTCTCTGCTGCTGCGCTGCTGCTGCTGCTGCTGCTGCTGTCGGTTGAACACTTTGATGTCCTAATTGGTTTATTACTTTGTCGGCATCTTTATGCCGTTGCCTGTTTTATTTATTTCTTTATTTCTCTGAGTTTTCATGCTGCAGCCACATTGGGCTCGGCTGCCCCAACTGCAACTTCGGCGGGAGGCTACTCCAACTCGATCCCGAACCCAAACCCAAACCCAAACCCGAGCACGCGCACAGAACGGCATGCGGCATGCGGCAAGCGGCCCGGGGGCACACAGCCCAGAACCGAGAGAACTGGAAAGCGATCTTCCGAAGTCCCTCCCCAGTCGCAGTCGCAGTCGCAGTCCCCACCTTCCTCCTCTGTTAACAATGTTGCCGCGTGTGCGCTCAATCAACATGTTACGATATCAGCGCAATTTGTCATCTTATAAACAACGGAGAAGAGCATCTTGGAAGTTGGAGGCTGGCATCCCCCATCCTCCATCCCCATTCCCATCTTGATCATGATCTTAATCATCGGCAGGGAACAGAGGCAGCAGCGGCATGGCATGGCATGGCATGGCATGGCATGGCATCATCATCACAATGGGCAACTCTTACCAGGAAAGCAAACGTTTTCCAAAATCTTGCATCTCCCAACGCTCAGGCATCTCCACAGGTCTGCCATCCGCTCGGTGGTCCTGTGTGAAGTTTGCCGTATTCAAAGCACAAGAAAACTCAATCAAGGGCCTCGTAAATCTTGCCACAATTTGATGAGTGCACAGTGGGAGACGGAACAATGGGCCTACGAGCTACGACACACGCACAGTGGGCTGGAACGTATTGAAACTGGGTTGAAAAGATACAACAAGACAGACAAAAAGTTGAAGCAATTTATCTGCCATAAAGTATAATACAAATTTATGCATTTCCCTTTTTAAATTCTTGCCCAGCTCCACTTTTGAGCTGCTCTGCACCCACTGTCGAGTGTGTTGTAAGTGGGTCTCACACTTCTCGGCTTATTGATTATGGCCGCCGCATCGTAGAATCCATTTCCATTTCCATTTCCGATTCGTCATCATGCAGCGCCCCCAGCTGTGAAGGCTGGAAATGACCCACACAGAACCAGAGCCCAGAGCCCAGAGCCCAGAGCCCAGACTCCGACCTAGAGTGAGGCATCAATCGGTTGAGTGTCCGTTCACGTTCTGCTCCGAATTATGATGGTTCGCCGTGTGTGGCTTGTGTTTTGACAGTTACACATTTGAGGGATCAGCGACTGTTCAGTGTTCAGTTTCCACCTAAATTCAGGGCTGCCCATCGCTGAGCCGAGGCATTATTGATCGTCCGTGTCCCGCTGTTGTGATCCAGGCGCAGCAGGCGGCCCTAACAATGGTCGAGGTCGGGGCTGTGTCGTTCCATAATCTACACCATCGCAGTGAGCGCGGTGCCTTTTGAAGGTCCTTTTGGCCAAAGTTCTCTCCCCTCGAAGAGGGACACACACGCGGCTGCAACATTTGTATGCAAAAATACAATGAAGTTCTTTGAAGCGCGTCGTGGTCGTAGTCGTGGTCGTGGTCCAGGTAAGCGACAATTATTTATCTTACAAATTTACCTGAAATTAAATACTTTCGTTTGACGGCAGAGGCTGAAGCAGTCGCAGTGGCAGTGGCAGGGTTATGGCTATGCAACTGCCACAAAAGGCGACAAATTCCCACTTTCTGCTGCTGCTGCTGCTGTTGTTGTTGTTGTCTTTAATCAGCGTTGCGGCTGTTGCTTTGATCAACATCTGTGCCAAGCCATCTGAACAAGGTGCTACCTTCGGGTCTCATCCCGACCTCCCTCCCTGCCTACCTGCAGGGCAGGCCAAAGGTGTGACAAGTCAGCGGATTTGCGTGTTCTCTTCTTGCGAAATATTTAAAAATGCAAAGATTATCGCTGGGCTGGGCACTTAATCCAGGACACCCTTAATCCCATGCTAAGTCCCCCAGCCCAAAACGAATTTCTACCTTTTATTTGATGTTTGCCGTGCCGTTGCTCGACTAATTAGCACGGAGCGGGGGGGGTGGAGAGACAGACTCGAAAACAATTTCGATTAAAGCCAAATTCACCGACAACTAACTCAATCCAAGGCAATCATAATCGCGCAATCATAATTACAACAATCTGCCAAACCACCAGAGAGCGAGAGAGAGAGAGACCAGACCTAACGGACGCACAAACAAAAGCAAAAGAACACAGGGACGGGCACGGGCGCGGGGAACTCACTTCTATTGCTGCCTCTTCTGCAGCAGCAACACTAACAATGTCGACAACAGGTTGCCCCGCTGCCTGAAGTGCTTTGTGGCGCAGAGAAACGTTAAGATTGTAATAACCATGTTAAAAGCAATTTACGTTTACGTTTAAAGTGCTACCGTGATACGTTGTTTCTTGATTAAGAACTGCCAGGAGACAGGACCACGAGCAGGAGTTGAGAGCTGCGAGCTGCGAGCTGCGAGCTGAGGATCTCGCATTTATTTGGCGGCAAACGCGGCTCTGGCTCCGTACTCTCCGAACGAACTTTC